ACTTTAATTTTGGCTAATGTAATGATGACGTGCCTTGGTGTGTTCCTTCTTGGGTCCAACTTCTTTGGGACTCTCTGAGCTTCCTGGATTTCTTGGAAGTCTATTTCCTTTGCCAGATTGGGGAAATTTTCCTTTATTATTTGTTCAAATAAGGTTTCCACTGGTGGCTGTGCCTTTCCCCCTTCTGGTACCCCTATAATTCGGATGTTGGAGCGTTTAAAGATGTCCTGGAGGTTCCTAAGACTCTCCTCATTTCTTTGAATTCTTGCTTCTTGACTCTTTTCTGTTTGGCCATTATTTGCTTTCTTCTGGTCCACTCCATTGATTTGAGTCCCAGTTTCCTTTTCATTGCTATTGGTGTCCTGTGCAATTCCATTCATTTCAATTAGTTTCGCCTTCATATATTTGTCTAATTTGTCAGTATAATCAACCAGTTCTGTGAGGATCCTGATGACCAGTGTTTTAAACTGTGCGTCTGAGAGTTTTGCTATTTCTTGTTCGCTTTGATTTATAGGCTCTGGGGCTTTGAGATCTTGCGACATTTTTGGTCTGTTCTGGCCCTTTAAGTGTGAGAAGTGGTGCCTTGGACTCCCAAGTTGCTGGGTTGTGACGCTGTATGTGGGGGCGTGGTCAGAGCAGGGAAATGGCGACCCCCTCTGCTGTTTCTCACAGCTGGGTGAGGATTAGCGTCTTAGGTGGTTCACCTGGGCCGGGCCACTCAGAGTCGCTGGGTTATGACCCTGTATGTGGAGGTGGGGTCAGAGCAGGGAAATGGCGGCGCCCTCCACTGCCACTTGCCGCGGGGACTGGGCCCCGGTCCAACCGCCCACTCCCTCGCCTGTCCGCCCGCGCACAAATGCGTGACCATAGTCAACACACAGCACCGCTCCCCTGCTGTCTCCCCCGAGGTCGCTCGCCTGGTGGCTCGCTCGGTCGCTCACTAGGTCCAACCCTGCGCCTGGATTCCGCGCGTCTGGTTCCGCACCTGAGTCCGGCTGACCAAGACCTCCTGTGCAATCCCGCTTCACCAGCCGCTGGTTTCGCCCCTTACCGGTCAGGCTGAAGAATTTGTTGTTAACGGACTTCCAAAAAGTTCAATTTTCTGTGTTCTGGCTGTGTTTTCTGTTGCTAATATTTAGTTGTCTCTAAACTTGGTTGTGTGAGAAGGCACGGCACATTCGCCTATGCCTCCATCTTGGCGGAAGTCTCCCATATATATTTTTTTAAAAAAGAAATGACGTTTCAATAAAAAATGAAATGAAGTTACTATGAGGTTACAGAAGAATATTTGAATTTACATAACCTACATACAATACTGATCAGATTAAGAAAGTTTGGAAAGTTAGACCAATCTCTATAGAGACAGATCTTAGACATGAGTGGGACATCAGAACCCATGGAGACCTTCCAGAAGAGGTAGGATGCATTTCTAACAAGTTCCAACATGATGCCAGTGCCGCTGGATTGGAGATTACACTTTAAGATCCACTGCCCCAGACTTACCACTCATGTGGATGGTACTTCAGGGTCCTTTCTTCAATTTCTCAGCAATTTGTCTTTCACCCTGGATTCAGCATATTTCTTTTGCTGCCTGTGGTATAGCTTCATGGACATGACTAGTAACCTGTAAGATCTCTAAAGGCACTATGAGATCTGTCCAATTTCTACCTAAGCACAGATGCAAGTAAGTGTTTATTAATTGTGATGTGAACAATATAGGAGATCTTTATATTTGTCAGCAAACAAATGCTTATGTTATTAATAGCTACAATGAATAAATATTTAGGTATTTTAAAGTCTTTTAAGAAACACTTTTTTTTTTTTTTTTTTTTTGGCCAGCACCAGAAACCTAGGAGGCTTCTCAGTATGCTATCATTAAAACATTCAAGATGTAATAGCCTTTTTTCAGGTCTATCATGGATGACCACTCCATTTATGAACATGCTAAAAAATAAGAAGCCTGGACACACTATAATTCCAAATGAACTTTAGAAGGGGCCTGTAATCATCACTGAGGGTAGAAATCACCAGGGTTAATTCTTCATGAATTCCCCTAGCTTCCTGTGCCTGGAAGGTTTAGGGACTGAGGAGTAGGTAACCTTTAACTGTGCAGCTCTCAGAAACTGCGCTGGACCTGTCACTCTTGGACAGTAGTTCCTGGCAGTTCTAGCAAAACCCCCAGGATTGTGACTCGTGGGCCCCTCTGGAGTTACACACCCAACCTTGATTGAGTACTGAGGTGGAGGATGGAATTGTAGGAGTAGCCCATCTGGGAGGCATAGTTAGTTTTCCTGACCACTTCACTCTCCACTGCATCATCAGAATGAGGTAGGTTGCCAGATGGTCAAGGAGAAAGGTTCTAGATGCCTCATAATTAGAATCACCAGATGTCCTCAATCACTTTGTGATCAATTCTGTGTCATAGTCTGGATGTCTAATTTTTGATGGAAAAAATTATTTTTATTATTTTGTGGTCATATAAGAAATGGACACATTCTTATGTGATGTTTAGACAATATGGAAGTATTTAGAGATAATATTCCTTCCTTACCATCCCTTCTTCCTACTGTTCCTCCCAGCAACATCTGCATTTTCGTCTCTTCTCTGCGTTCACACCTTTGGATGGTCCCCATCTTTTGCATTTGAACTGACACTGTGACTTGCTTTAATAATAAAATGTAAAGGAGGAAGTAATAGAATTTTGGGAGACTCTAAACTTAAATTATTTAAAAAATGGCTGAGGTTAGAATCATAGTTTGGATGTGCCCCAAGTGTGTCACCATACATTTATTGATAAACATTTGAGGAGGAGGTTCAAACTTTCCCTCTATATAGGCAATTAAGTAATAGATATTTTTCATGTACAGTTTTATGCACTTATGCATGGATAAAGTCCTACAAATAACATTCTTGGGTCAAAGGGCAAGCACATTTTTCACATTCATAGATAATTCCAAAGAGTCTTATGAAAAGATTTCACCAAATTACACTAGCTATTCAGGATATATGTGGATAAATTATTAAATCAGTGGTACTGATGTAAGTAGTATCCATTTGGAGACTAACAAAATAACTTATGCCATATTCTGTAGATAAATAAACTCTAGACATATTAAAAATCTAAATGAAAGATATTGAAATTCTTAAATAATGGAATATATAGATAAATATATAATAAATAAATACTGTAAAAATAAAATTTAGAATATCGTAAGGGTCTGGAGATAAGAAAACCTTCTTAAGCAAGACATGGCAATCCAGAGCTACACAGAAAAATGGTAGACATGTGATCACAGCAATTACTACAATATTACTGTGGAATAATTTGTGTTAGGTAAAATGCATAAGCCATCAAAATAAAAATGATTCAATAAAAGATTAACATCCTATTAATCTATAAGAAAAATATGAACAACCTAATAGAAAACTAGATAAAAATACGAAGTCACTTAACAGAAAAAGAAGTATGAATGGCCAATAAACAAGTGAAAAAATTATGTGACTTTATTAGATATCAAGGAAGTGCTAATTAAAACAAAGTAGAAATACTTTTGCCTTTGGCAGCCAAAAATTCAAAAGATTAGTGCTATACAGTGTTATGAAAGATAGGGAAATAAACATGCCTAGACATTGGTTGTGAGAGGACAACTTGCTACAGACCCTTGGGAGGGTAATTTATCTCTCTGACAGTGGTGGTGGTATTCATATAGCACTGTGACTATGGCTGTGGTGGTGATCATATACCTCCTTATAGTTGGTCAGGGTCTTCATATAACTCTGTGATAGCAGTGGTGGTTGTATTTTTACAACTCAGGGACAGTAGTGGGGCTATTGACTTAGCTATGATGGTGGTGGTGGTGGTAATTACATAACTGAGAAGTTAATCTACACATAAGTCTGCTACGTTAGTCATGGGATTCACATAGTGTTGTGTTAATGTTGGTGGTGGTGCTCATATGTCACATAATTCTGTGATGTTGCCTGTGGCAATATTCCCAATAATCTGTGACACTAGTTGTGGTCATATTCATATAATTCTGCAAAGTTGCCTGGGCTATTCGAATAATTCTGTAAAGTTGGTGGTGATGGTATTCATGTGACTCTGCACTGATTGAGGAGGTAAGATTTACCTAATTCTGCAATGTTGGTCACATTAGTTGTTATCCTGTGAAGTGGGTACAGGTGGTCTTCACATAATCCTGTCGCGGTGGTCATGGTATTCACTTAATGGCAATGTGTGGTAGTGATGGTATTCAAATAGTGCTCTGATATTGGTTGTGGTATTTATGTAATCTTAATGGTGTCAGTTGTGGTAGTTATATAACTCAGTAGCTCCAGACAGGTGGCTCCAGACATGTTGGTGGTAGTACTTTCATAACTGCATCATTGGGTTGTCCTCTTATCTCTGTGACATTAGTCATGGCATCACATATCCCTGTTGTGGTGGTAGCACAAATATATACACAATCTTTAGCTGGGGTGGTTGCATTCACATGACTTCATGACATTGTTTCTGGATGATCCTCATGATTCTCTGAGGCTGGTCATGATATTCACATACCAGCATGATGGTGGTTAGAAGTAGAATTCAAATAACTATATGTTGTGTATTCACATGACCCTGCAATGTTGAAGGTTGTGTTCACAGATGCTGTGAAATTCATCATGGTATTCCTATAATCCTGCTACAATAATTTGACATGGTATTGGCATAATTGTGCAACATTGGTGGTGCTATTCACATATCTTGTGACAGTGGTGATAGTGTAATATAGGTAATTCTATGACTTGGTCATGGTACTGGCATTCCTCAGAGATATTACAAATTTGGTTCCAGACCACCTCAGTGAAGCAAATATTTCATTAAAGTGAGTCACATGAATTTTTGGTTTCCAAGTGTATATAAAACTTAGGTTTACACTATGTTGTAGTCTATTAAGTGTGTAATAGCATTATGTCTAAAAAATGTATATATGTTAATAAAAAATACTTTATTGCAGAGATTCCAAGATGGCTGCAGAATAGGTGGAAGCTACACTCATCTGCTCTTGTCCCCAAACCTTCTTACAGCTAAGTTATAGAGCAATCAGCCTAAACAACCAACTGAAGGCTAACTGAACTCAAAAAATAACTAGGAATTTACAGAGGAAGCCATGCAGAGACTGGTAAGAAGAGTAAAGACATGGAAAGGGATGGCCGCTGCATCCAGGTGAAGTGGCAACTGAGAAGCCAGGTATTGCTGTTGCAAAACTCCCTCGCCCCAGGAGCATTGGGTCTCAACCACATGCAAGGATCTTAAACCCAGAACAATAGAGTTGGGAAGGAGAGCCGCATAAAATCTGGTGATGGAAATCAGTGACTATTCAGTCTGCCTGGGAGACCCAGATGCCACCTTTCCAAGGACAAACACTCCTATTGTTATAGCACCAGCCTGGTCTCTGACAGCTGGAAAAGTCATGCTGACATACTTTTGTCCTGCATAGGAGTATGCTGGTTGCACCCAGCAGTGACTTTTGATTACCTCTTTTTCTAGGGAGACTTCTGGAAGAGACTCACACAGTGACTAAACTGTGTGGTTTAGGAAAGAGGGCTGATATTCCTCACTTTGAGAACACAGCTGGCACCCCTGCTCACAACTACTGGTTTACTTGGCTGACCCTGTCCTACTGAGTTCAGCAGTGAGTGGGGACCAGACTGCTGCATAGAGCTAGGATTTTCAGACCACGTTTTCTGGGGCAGTTTTTGTCTGGAAGCCAGACAGGAGGGTTCTGGGGTGTGTGGCTACATTGTGGGGTAGGGGTAGAAAACCCAACTCCCTGGCAAGCTCAGCCTGCACTACCTCAGAGAGGGAAAGAAGTGCCTGACCCTGTCCTTCAGGCTTTTGGGCACTACCCCCAGTGAGAAACTCTTTGGATCAGCCTGCTAAATTCTGGATACCCCTCCCCACAGGGCTCCATCAATGGAGGGAAGAGAGAGCAATTCAGAGCTATGACACTCAAAGCATGAGAACCTTGGAGCTATTGTATGGGACTGGGATAAAGTGCTTAACTCCCTCCTGTACTGGGATGAAGGCTGGACTGGCATCACATCCAGTGGGAGAGTCTTGATCTGTTGCTCTGAGCCCAGGTGGTTGATCTTTCTCCTGCACAGGGGATGCACCCTTCTAAATATGCAGTGAGCCCCTCCTGGGAAAAGTAGTATTGAAGACTCTGGCAGGGACTGAGTGGTTTGGCTCTGGAGCAGGGGCCACATTTTCCCTTCATCGAGTGCCTGATTATGTGGTTTCCAAGTAGGAAACCCATTAGCCCTGTCGTCTTGACCCCAGTTGCCCTAACCCACTGAATTTGCAACCCGTGGAAGGAAGGGGCTGTGGTTCAAAGCCAGCCTGGGCCCACCCTACTATCTTTCTTTTGAACAACACTAGATAACCTCAGGGGGAGGCAGAATAGCCAACAGGTGGAGGCTGACCTGAGGGAGCCTTAGTTCTTTTACAGATCTGTCTTCAGCTCTACACTGGAGAAAGCCCATGCTTGTACATGGATTGACTCTCCCATGCAAATTCAGGTCCAGTAGACATAGCCATAAGCAGTAAACAGCATGGTAGCTCCAGACAGGTGGCTCAAGGCTAGCTGCCCACAATGTCTTACATCAACCTGTACCTGGACCCCACCAAAGTGGATCCAGAGCCAATACAACTATTGGTGGGTTTCAGACCACACCAGGGATTGACCCCACACAAGGAGCCCACCCAAAGAAAGATTCTGGTAGGCACTAGACCCTCTTGGGAACAACTCTACCTTAGGAGGCAGTCCCTGAATAGTATGTTATACATGGTGATCAAAGTTTACCCTTATAGTCAGCCAGCCTGAAGGGTTAATTCCATCCACAAAACAGCCAACAGTATTCAAGACTTAAGTACAACAGGAGGGTAAAAATAACCTACCAAAACATTCTTGGAGCACAGGGCTCAGATGATCTGGAAGATTGTGCCACTGAGTCCAAGGAGACACTTTCATCATAACAAGTTTGGGAGTTATAGAATATCTGTCTAATACACAGAGACAAAATGGGGAGACAAAGAAATGTGCCTCAAATAAAAGAACAACAAATTCGAGGAGTTCATCATCACCAAGTCCTTACTATATGAAATGTTAAAGGGACTTGTCTAAGAAAAAGAAGATAAAAACGATGAACAGTGAAAGGACAGCAAACTCACAGTTATTAACAACCGCATCTAAAACAAAAGCAAACTAAGAGGACAGCTAGATCAGGAGTGGAAACATAGAAATGAAGATCTCATGGAGGGTTAGCAACAAGGGAGTGGGAGGAGGAGAAGGGGGGAGAAGGTACAGAAAATAAGTAGCATAGACAGTAGGTAGAAAATAGAAGGGGGGCAAGAATAGTATGGGAAATATAGAATCTAAAGAACTTGAGGCACATGGTCATAAACTAAAGGGGGGAATGGACGGGGGCAAGGGGTGCAGGGTGGAGGGGAATGAAGGGGGGAATAGAACAACTCTAATGGCATAATCAATAAAATAAAAATTAAAAAAATACCCCCCAAAAAGAACAACATAAATCTCCAGAGAAACAAATAAATGAGATGAAAACAACCAACATACCAGGTGCAGAGTCTAAAACAATGGTATAAGGATATGCGAGCACCTTAGGGGAAGAATGGATGATATAATTAAGAACTTAAACAGTGGTAATAAGCATTAAAAAATACAAACAAAACATAAGCTAAGCCAGTCCAAAATGAAAACTACAATGTGTGAAATGAAGAATACACCAGATGGAGTTAACAGTCAGTTAGATGAAGCAGAGAAATCAGTGACTTCAGGAATGAGATTACAGTAAGAACCCATGCAGAGCATCAAAAAGAAAACAGAATTTTAAAAAAATGAGGGAAGTCCAAGGGATCTCTGGGACAACATCAAGCATAACGACATTTGCATCATAAGGGTACCAGAAGAGAGTGAGCAAGGGGAGGAGAACCTGTTTGAAGAAATAATGGCTGAAAATTTCTCTAACCTGGTGAAGGAAAAAGTTATACAAGTTCAGGAAGCACAGGGAGCCCCAATCAAAATGAACCCAAAGAGACCCCACCAAGACACATCATAATTAAAATGCCAAAAGTTAAAGACAAGGAGAATCTTAAAGACACATAAAAGAGACAGTTGCCTACAAGGGAGCTCCCATAAGGCTGTCATCAGATTTTTCAAAAAACATTTCAGGCTAGAGGGATTAGCATGAAATAGTCAAAGTAGTTAAAAGCAAGGACTTGTAACTAGGATTACCATATACAGCAAGTCTATCATTTAAGATTGGAGGTGAAATAAAGAGTTTCCCAGACCCCCCGCCCTCAAAAAAAGGGCTAAAGAAGTTCATTACCACCAAACCAGTGTTGCAAGAAATGTTAAAGAGCCTGCTTTAAGGAGAAAAAATAGAGAAAGTAGCACAAGTATAAGGGAAAAAATGTCAGTAAATTAGTACCTATTATTAATAAACTTAAATGTAAATAGATTAAATGCCTCAATAAAAGACATAGGGTAGCTGAATGGATAAGAAAATAGGACCCATATATATGCTGTCTACAAGAGACCTACCTCAGAACAAAAAAAAAAAAAAAACACAGACTGAAAATGAAGGGTTGGAAAAAAATATTCCAAGCAAATGAAACAAATACAAATGCTGGGGTAGCAATACTTATATCTCACAAAATGGATTCAAAACAAAGGCCACAACAAGAGACAAAGAAAGTCACTACATTATATTAAAGAGGTGAACCAACAAGATAATATAGCTCTTGTAACATGTATGCATCCAATACAGGAGCATCTAAATATAGAAAACAAATCTTGGTGGACATTAAGGGAGAGATGGACAGCAATACATTCATAGTAGGGGATTTTAACACCCTACTGTGATCAGTGGACAGATCTTCCAGACAAAAAATCAACAAGGCAACAGTGACCTTAAACAATGCACTAGATCAGGTGGATTTAATAGATATTTATAGAACATTTTATCCCAAAGCATCATAATGTACATTCTTCTCAAATGCACATGGAAATTCTTAAAGATAGGCCACATGTTAGGATACAAAATGAGTCTTAAAAAATTCAAGAAGACTGAAATGATATGAAACATCCTCTCAGAAAACAATGATATGAAACTAGAAATCAACTACAAACAAAACAAAAAACAAAAACAAAACCCAAACTAAAAAATATTCAAATACATGGAGGCTAACATGACATGTTATTAAGCAAAAAATGGGTTATCAATGAGGTCAAGAGATAAAAACTACCTGGAAACAAATGAAAATTAACACATCATCACCCAAAACCTATGGGACACAGCAAAAGCAGTCCGGAGACAGAAGTTCATAGAATTACAGGCATGCCTCAATAAATAAGAAAAATCTCTAATAACCAATCTAACCCTACACATAACAGAAGTAGGAAAAGAACAACAAACAAAGCCCAGGGTAAGTAGAAGGAAGAAATTATATGACATAGAGTGGATTAAATTACATAGAGACTAAAAAGACAATACAAAGAATCAATGAAACCAAGAGCTGTTCTTTGAGAAGATAAGTAAGTTTGATGAACTTTTAACCAGACTTATGAAGAAAAAAAAGAGGACTCAAATAAATACAATCAGTAAAATAAAAGAGAAGTAACAACTGACACCAAAGAAATACAAAGGATTCTAAGTAAATATTAAAACAACTATATGCCAACAAATTGGACATATCAATGAAATGAATAAATAAATGAATAACTAAAAACATACAATCACCCAAATCTGAACCAGTAAGGAGCAGAAAACTTGAGTAGACCAATAACAAATAATTAAATTGAAGCAGTAAGCAAAAAAAAAAAAAAAATCCCAGCCAACAGAAGTCCTGAAACAGATGGCTTCACAGGCAACTTTTACCAAATATTCAAAGAAGAATTAACACTTATCCTTCTCAAACTATTTCAAAAAATTCAAGAGGATGAAAATCTTCCCAGCTCCTCTTATGAGTCTAACATTACCCTAATTCCAAAACCATATAAAGACACTACAAGAAAGAAAATTATAAGTCAACATTCCTGATGAACAGAGATGCTAAAATCCTCAACAAAATATTAGCAAACCAGAGCCAGCAACACATTAAGAAGTCACACACCACGATTGAGTGCAATTTCATTCAGTGGTGCAGGATTAGATAGTATTAAAAAAATCAATAAATGTGATGCATCACATGAACAAAATCAAAGAGTAAAATCATATGAGTATGATCATATCAGTAGATGCAGGAAAATGTTTGATAAAACCCAGCACCTATTTATGATAAAAAAAAAAGTCTCAGCAAAGTAGAAATAGAGGGGTCATTCCTGAAAGTAATAAACACCATGCATGACAATTCTACAACCAACATCATACACAGTGGGCAAAAACTAAAAGTGTTTTCTTTAAGAGCAGGAACAAGACAGGGATGTCCACTTTAACGTCTCTTAATCAACGTTGTACTGGAAGTTGTTGCCACAGCAATCAGACAAGAAGAAATAAAAGGCATACAAATTGGAAAGCAGGAAGTAAAACTTTCATTATTTCAAAATGACATTATATTGTACATAGAAAACCCTAAAGAAGCCACCAAAAAACTATTAGGTCTAATAAATGAATTTGGCAAATTCATTTTGCCAAATTAGCACTATTACAAAATTAATATTGAGAAGTCAGTGTAATTTTTGTACACCAATAATGAACTATCAATAGAGGAATTAAGAAAACAGTCCCATTGCCATTGCAACAAAATAAGGTACTTGGAAAACTACAGGACATTGAAGAAGAAATTGAGGAAGATTTTAGGGTCAAGATGGTGACATAGGTAAACATGGCTCACCTCTTTGCACAACCACATCAAAATTACAACTAAAATACAGAATAACCATAACTCAGAACCATCAGGAAGAAAGTTGAATGGAAGTCTAAAAACTATGGAATTAAAGAAACCACATCCATCCAGACTGGTAGGAGGGTTGGAGACATGGAATAGGCTGGTCCTATATCCACATGTGTTGGGTAAAAATGCAGTAGGAATATTTTGGGAGTGAGTAGTCTCACCCCAAAATCAGGCACCCTGGCTCAGGGTTCCAGTACCAGGAAGATAAGTTCCTGTAACCCCTGGCTATAAAAACCAGTGGAGATTCAGTTGGTGGAAAAAAACCCTGGAGCTCCAAATAGTGCCCCTTAAAGAATCCACACATGAATTTACTTAGACTCACTTCCATTGAGTTTCAGCTCTGGGGTAACAGCTTGAAAGGTACCAGTGGCATACAGGGAGGAACTGAAGTGTTTGGCTTCAAGGTGGGAGCTGGGGGATGACTTCCTCTGGTGGGAAGAGGCCATTATCCCTTTTCTGAAGTCTCCCCCTCCTCAACAGAGCCATAGAGCTACAGAGCTGGCAGGTGGGTGCCGTATCTGAGACCACATTGACATGGCTGACATTGTTTGCTCTGCATTGGAGATCCCTGAGATTTTGTCCTATCCAGCTTATGGGCACACCAAAACTTAACTGTGACATTTTGATATGAGTGGCAGGTGTTGGCTCATGCTTTGCAACTTCCAAAATCCTATCAAACAAGCAACAGCCGCCTCAATGAGCCAGCAGTCCCCCATACCTCTTGATAAGTGGTCCCAGGCCTGGCAGTAGCAGCAGCCAACCTAGATTCACAGCTTAGCCTCACCTGGTCATCTCCAAATCCAGCACAAGCAGCAGCCATCTCATGCAGGATGGCCCTGGGCAGAACACAGGTGGGGACCAACCTTGGCCTGCACAGCCCTGGAAAGCCCAGAGCCTGCACATCCAGTGGACAGCTACAGACCATGTCAGAGCACCACCACCAAGGCCCTGCACAGCTGATTGTCCATGGAGGGTAGAGGTAGGTGGTCAGTGGTCATAGCCAATCCTTGCAATTCACTGGGCTGGATAAATCCCTCCCATTGAAGGGATTAAAAAGTACAAGTAGGTAGTTACAGAATAGCCATGGTGATATAAAGTACAGTACAGGAATGGAGTAACCAAAGAACTTATATTCATGACCCATGAACATGAACAAATGGTGTGGGGATTGCCTGAGGGAGTGGGGCATGCTGGGTGGAGATGGGAAAAGGCTAAAAATTGGGACAATTGTAATAGAATAATCAATAAACATTATTAAGAAATAAAAAAGAAGCAAAAAGAAAAGCAATTGAGGAAGATACAAATAAGTGTAAGCATATACCATGCTCATGGATAGGAAGAATTAACATTATTATAATGTCTGTACTACCCCAAACAATCTCTAGACTCTATACAATTCCTATTAAAATACCAATGGCATATTTCAAAGATCCAGAACAAATATTTTTAAAGTTTATAGGGAGCCAAAAAAGACCACAAATAGCCTCAGCACTCTGAAAAAAGAACACAGTTGGAGGTAGAACAATACGTGATATGAAGCTATGCTACAAGTTCATTGCAATCAAAACAACCTGGTACTGGCATAAAAACAGTAATATAGATCAATGGCATGGAACAGAGAGCCCAGAAATTAACCCATGCATTTATGGTCAATTAATATTTGACAAGGGAGGCACAAGCATACAATCGAGTAAAGACAGTCTCTTTAATAAATGGGGTTGGGGAAATTGGACAGGTACATGCAAAAATAAAACTGGACTATCAACTTTCACCATACACCAGAATAAATCCAAAATGGATAAAAGACTTAAATGTAAGCCACAAGACCATAAAAATCCTAGAAGAAAACATGAATGGTAAAATCTCAGACATTTCTTGTAGAAATATTTTTTGCCAATATACGTCTAGGGGAAGGGAAACAGGAGAAATAAACAAATGACACTGCTCAAATTAAAAAGCTTTTGCACAACAAAAGAAACCAACAAAATGAAATGCAAACCCACTGTTTGAGAGAACATATTTGCCAACAATACTTCTGCAATGGGGTTAATTTTTAAAATACCTAAAGGACATATACAAATGAACACCAGGAAGACAAACAATGCAATTTAAAAATGGGCAAAGGATCTGAATAAACACTTCTCCAAAAAGGACATACAATTGGCCTATAGACATAGGAAAAATGCTCAGTGTCAGTAATCATCAGAGAGATGCAAATTAAAACCACAATGAAATATCACTTCACTTGCCAGAATGGCTATTATCAATAAATCAAATAACAATAAGTGCTGGCGAGGATGTGGGGAAAGGGAACCTTAGTACACTATTTGTAGGAATTCAGGCTGGTGCAGCCACGTGGAAAACAGTATGGAGTTTCCTCAAAAAACTAAAAATGGAACTGCCTTTTGATCTAGCAATACCACTTCTAAGAACGAGACACCAATTTAAAAAAAAATCACTGCAGCGTTGTTAGTAGTAATTACATGAATGACAGTGTTCATGGTATTCATGTTACTCTGTGGTGGTGGTATTCATATAACTATGAAAGCTTGCTCATACTTTTCAATAGCTTTTTGATGTTGGTCACGGTATTCAGATAACCTGTAGTGGTGTCATCACATCCGCACACTTGTGATGGTTGTCATGGTGCATCCCCCTAAGTTTGCAACTGTGAAAAGTTAGTGATGACAGTATTCACATAGTGCTGTAGTGATGTAGCTATGACACAATGCTACTTTGGTGATAGTAGTTACTTCACTTTTTAATGTTGCTGGTGGTAGTATCCACATAACTCTAGGAAACTGTCGTGATGTGCACATGACTATGACAGTGTTGGGTGTGGCCATCTCATAATTGCAAAATGGGTCAATGTCTTTGTATCTCTTAGTGACAGTGGTAGTGGTATTCACATAACCTCCTATAGTGGTGGTGGTATTCACATACCTCTGGAACAGGGCCTGTTGTATTCACATAACCTACACTATTGTTCATAGTTTTCATATGACTTGTGATAACATCATGCTATTTACATAATTCTGCCATGCTGATCATGGCATTTGTGTAACTGCAATGGTGGAGGTGGTATTTATATAGTGGATGACTGGTGGTGGCAGTAGTCACATAGCCCAGTGACAGTGTGGTCCTGGAATTAACCTGTTGGTGATGCTGGTCACTGTAATCATATGAGTGCAGTGTTGATGGTTATTTTAACTCATATATTTCTGCCACATTGGTCATGGTATCCACATAGCCATGATGGTGGTGGTAGTATGTAAATAATCCTGATGTGATGGTGGTAGTTTCATGTGACTGTGCAATGGTCAAGGCAAAAGTCTCATTTTATAGGTAGAGGACTTAGGCTTAGACAAGGTTTGCTTAAAGTTACATAATGAGATATTACAGAGCCAGGCCCAAATTCAGCTTTTCTGAGTAATTCAAGTGCAGCCTTTTCTGTATTATACCATGAAGTTTCTTCCTGCTAAATCTAAATTTAAAGGCCTTAGTACAAAAATGTACCTTCAAACTCCCTGTTGGCTTTGGAACATAAATGTTGTATCTTTACCATCCAAGTTGTTTATCTAGCACCTTAGTTGTGTCCTTATATTCACACATACATACACACATTTTTATGTGAAAAATGAGAAAAAAAATAACTACAAATGCAGATGTGTAAATTGAACTTCTGAAAGTTTATGTTAAATAATGCAGAAAAGGGCTGTTTGGTAAACCAAAATAAAGCATCTTTGAGGATAATGTATAGTTTATTTATAGAATCCAAAATGTACTGATTAAACAATGGAATTTAATATTGGCAAAAATGTTGATTTTGTAGTGTATTCTTTTACTCTTTCTCTAAAAATTATAAAGCTCTAGAAGCCTTATAAAATACTAAACATATGATATTGTGATGTTGGTATCTGGGTGGTGATTACCAGGTAGAAATGTGTTTAAACAATCATTGAGTTATAAATTTAAGATTTCTGTATTTTGTGGCATATAAGTTACATCTCAATAAGAATTTAAAAAATGTATTTCTAAATAAAATGAAAATATGATAGGTTTCAGAAAGGTAGTGCCAATCTAAGAACTCAAGATACTTTCTTATGAGATACTGCTTTTATAGTAACAGGGAAAAACATCACCATGAATAGCAAGTTAAATGTGATTTAAGACATGAGTATGGCTTCCAGAAATACCCTTGGTGTTGTAAGGAAGTTTCTCTTCATCTCAACTGCTGGGGCTCATGATTTATGTTTTTTTTCCTTTGCAGTACTTGGGGTGCATTGAAGTTCTACGCTCAATGAGGTCTCTTGACTTCAGTACAAGAACACAAATTACCAGGTAAGCCCTTGTTGAAAATGGAATTCTATGATTTTACTTAGGAAAGGAATGATTTTAGAAGTTAGCACCCTAGAAATTTCCACAGAAAAAGGCTGCCCCTTGAATTCTGGTGATTGGTGACAGGGAGTCAGGACCCACTCTGTTTCAAGACTTCTATGTGTTTATGCATATTTGTGACATGTGTCTCTTGACCTAGCACCCTAAAGGACACTTCTTATTTCCAAGTGCTTTTTATAATTAAGCTGCAGACAAATGAAGTGATTATGTTTGTTTCTTTAATAAATGGAATTCTAATACCAGATAGATATTTTTAAACTTGCAAAAATATGTTATTTTTAAAAAGAAAATCAAGGTGTCAGGAGTAATTTCCAACATTATACACAGAAAATAAATTACACAGAATAGAAAGTAAAAATATTGATGGGAGTAGTAATTTAAGGAGTAGAGCAATTCTTTTAAGGGGTCAGTGATTTAGGGCAGGTTTATATATTCTCCATCACCAACTAGATTCTAAACTTCCTGAGGGCCAGTTCTGTATTTAAGCCTTGTTTTTATAAAATTCATAGCCTAATGCACTTAATATATTAAAAAATGCCAATTCAAGTGATCTTGAACAGAACTGGAAAGGTAGGAATGGATCTGTTACAAAGCTGTCTATGTGGGTGATAATCTTACATTGCTTTGGCAGTTGTGAAATTGTTCAGTCTAAATTGTGACCTTAGAAAAATGCCTCATATTTATTTCACTTAAATTAATATATCTTTGGGTTAGCATGCCAAAATACAAAGATTGAGCTTTAGAAAGCAATTATTTGCAGTAATTAGTTGGTAAATGATGGATGCACCTCAATTCTGTTTTAAGCACCACAAGATACCTCATCTTCTTCCATGAAGAAATTAATGTTCAAAAGAGTTGATGTTTGTGTTTTCCCTAAAGCTACTCAGGACACATGTACATGGTGGGAACATACCAACATTCATAATCTACACTAAGGGAAGAATCCATGTCCACATATTGGCAGAAAATAGTTTATGACAATTGTCAAAGCCAAAGAATGGTATTTTGAAGTGAGAGCATTTAAAAGAAAAGTTTGAATGTTTACTTAGTCAATCATCCTGCCCACGACAAGGTGTGTGCCATGCGATGTCTGTGGGCAGAACACTCTGTCACATGCCTGGGGCGATACTGTAACCTATGACATTGTTCACCTTCTCCTGTGTGGTGGCTGTTGGTTTTAAAGAGAATTGTTGACTATTTCTACTGAATTCCCTTTATAGATACTGGAACTTCTGAGATAATTCCTGCTGGCTGTGAATACACAGTGTGATGCCTTATTGTGCCTTCCGGGTTTGGGGGAGAAGGATGCATATGCAAATGTCTGAGGGGCATACAGGGGTGCAGTCATGTCCTGCTTGTGGGAGGCTGGTGGACAGGGGGTAAGCAAACAGTCCCAATGATCTTTTAGATGAAGGTCTTAGTAGTCTTTTGGGTAGAACCCGAATGGGTAGATGTGACAATAACATTGAAGAAATCCACGTAATAGACCTTTGATTCCATTCTGTTTAGATGTTAGCAAAGGTGCAGCTAATGTAATGGGCTGAGTAGAGAGCACCATTCTTGGATACAGGAAAGTTGGTGTGGAATTCTCATTGTACCAGAATTGCCTTGTGTTTATTAGACTTCTGGAAAATAATTTTTACTTGTCTCCGCAATGCTATCTGTCACTTGCCTCATTTTTATTGCATGACATGTTTCTTATTTCAGTTGATAGGTGAAGACCACTCATAGGCAACAATATGACAAATAAATGTCAGAAAGAATTCTTTCATCCAGAAGAATACCCAGCAATTTTCTTTAGACATATGCATGGTGGAGCTTTCAAGGCCTCTGTGGTAACAGAGTGTTAAACATGTCTGAGATTAAACTCCACCACCATGGTTTACTTTGTATATTAAAGGCATTCTTGAAAACTTGTAGGGAAATATAACATTGTAATTAAGTTATATTTTACAGGCTCTATGAAAACCTATTCCCAAAATCCCTTACCCATGTCTTTTATACAAAATATTTTCATAAACAAATAACCAATGTTTACTCACCTGTTCCACCACTTCAGGTTTTGGATGCAAGTGTCTCTTGAAGGTTCTGACAGCTGAACCTAGTGTCCTTTTGTTGAGTCAGTTCAGTTTTATGCTGTTCCTGTGTCTGAGTTCAGATTGACTGTGGAGCTTACAATAGTACCACTCCTGGATTGCTGATCTCTTACTTTTAGATAACTTTAAAAACTGCCCAGGAGCTGCCATTGTTGTATGCTTAGTTTTGGCCTTGGCAGTTAAATATCTTGTACACTAACTCTTTGGACAAAGGAGCTTGGTAACTTGTTCACACTAATGGTGCCAGCCGTATGGAGGTATTGGCCTATATGTAGAGTCCAGCTCTGCCAATTTCTACCTCAATGGCTATTGTGAGAATCAGGACAGTTTCTACATCTGATGCACACAGGATAGGGCCTGGCAAAGGGGCAGCCTTATTTAAGTGTTTTCTTCATCTCATTGCCTGAGCTTGTATTCAGTACAATGGGTGCAAGACCCCAGTGTTCAAAGAAGAATGTTCATGAACATAAGAGCAATTGAGGCCTTATAGATGATGGTCTCAGGCACTGCTGCTTTTCTGGGTCAGACTGTCAAGGGGGTACAGAGAGGAGTTGAGAGATGTGGCATTTGTGAGAGTCTGCCCTGGGGACAGGAGATGCACTCCAGAAGAAGAAGAAAATAGTTTCTTCTGTAGAAGAAAATAGTTTCCCAATGTGCCCTTGTTTGCCAAACCCAGTATGGTTTTTATCCCCTAACATGTCCTTTATCCAGTAAAGTTTGGAGTGTGGCATAAAGTACTTCCCCATATCCTGTAGATTTGCAATGACATAATTGCACTATTGCAGGCTATCAGAAATCCTGCTGCTGAGAACCATGAATTTTAGCTATTGTAGTGTTTCTCAAACTTGCTCCTCACCATCAGCACCACTTCCTAGTCTGTGAAAAGACCATTAGAAACCATTCTTCTGCATGGGTTTCACACTATGCTGTGCAGCACCTGAGGAATGGGAGGGATGGTCTACAGTTGGTGTTGCCATGGATGGGTGGGGTTTTTTTGGAGAGAGAGGAAGGGAGGGAGAGAGAGAGGGAGAAAGAGAGGGAGAGAAACATCAGTGCATGGTTGCCTCTCACAAGCCCCTTACTGGGAATCTGGCCAGCAATCCAGGCATGTGCCCCAACTGGGAATCAAACCAGTGATCCTTTGGTTCTCAGGCTGGCACTCAATCCACTGAGCCATACTAGCCAGGGCATTAGTACATGGGGATTTCCACAAGATGTTATGTGGCCAACAAAATTGGAAAACCACTGCTCCTGTGTCTGGACTGACCATTAGACAATCACACCATGTAACTCCCTGAGATGTACTGTCATGTGACTACTCTCAGCTCAAGTTGGGGGATGGGTTGAACAGTGTTTCCAGTAAGAGAATTCAGGGGAGACTGTGCTATCTGAACTGACACCTGGAAAGCAGCCTGTTGGGCCACCCTGCACAGTGATAAAAAGCCCCCAATGTGCCCTTGGTCACTGGAATAGCTTTACCTTCTTTCTCCTTTCCTTTGCTTTCCTTATCTGCTCATTTTAATTTTATTTACTATGCTCCATTTTATATATTATTGGAATTCATCTTAAGCCACTTTTAGGACATGGAAGGCTATACATACACATACATAATGAATCCCAGAGCACTCAGCAAAGTGGTCTTTTTCCAACAGTAAATACAAACATCTAACATATATTTTTGGTTCTAAATGACTCCAACTGACTTCCTGCACTCCTTGGTTTAGACAGATAAAGGCCAAGTTTGCTTTCCACTCAGGGTTGTGTAGGCATGTGGATTTAGCCATGTGTGAGCTTGCTACACTTCTATGGTGAGCTCAGCTAGATGTATGATATGTTGCCCAGGGCCTAACATACACTCACTTTTTTCAAACTGTAGAGCGTGAACAACTGAGTCTAGTTTAGGTATTTTTGTTTTATTATTTTAAAAGTTGTCATAGTTTCAATGGTCCCTGAATACCCTGCTTTTACCCAGACATTTACCAGCACTGCTCCATGGACTGGTCCACTCCTAGCATGACACTTGGTCTAAAACATCCAAGGATTCTTCTTTAGAATTAAGATGCTTTGAAAATTCCCCAGGAATGTACATAAAATCCTTTTAGTTTAAAAACTAAATCCAAAACCTGTAAAAGGAAAACATCTTTCTTTTAAGGATATATTTCCATTTTCTTCTTTTTTAATAAAATTATATTTTATTGATTATGCTATTACAGTTGCCCCAATTTCTCCCCTTTACTCCCCTCCACCCAGCTCTCCCTGCATCACTTAGGGAATCCCCACATCATTGTTCCTGTCCATGGGTCATGCATTTAAGTTCTTGGGCTATTTCATTTTCTATACTGTATTTTACATCCCCATGGCTATTCTGTAACTACCTACTTGTACTTCTTTTTAATATATATTATTGATTATGCTATTACAGTTGTCCCATTTTTTCTGCCCTTTATTCTCCTCTGGTCTGCATCCCCCTACCACCAGCAGTTCCCCCACTGCCCCCACCTAGTTAATGTCCATGGGTCATACATATAAGTTCTTTGGCTTCTACATTTCTTATACTATTCTTAATCTCCCCCTGTCTATTTTCTAACTACCATTTATGCTTCTTATTCTCTGTAGCTTTTCCACCCACTCCCTCCCCCAGCCTGCCACTGATAACCCTCTATGTGATTCTGTTCCTGTTCTAGTTGTTTGCTTAGTTTTTTATTTATTTTTTTTAGATTCATTGTTGACAATTGCAATTTTTTTCTCCTTTTACTGTTTATATTTTTATCATCTTCTTTTCCTTAGATAAGTCCCTTTAACATTTCATATAATAAGAACTTGGTGATGATGAACTCTTTTAACTTGACCTTATCTGGGAAACACTTTATCTGCCCTTCCATTCTAAATGAGAGCTTTGCTGGAAAGAGTAATCTGGGGTGTAGGTCCTTGCCTTTCATAACTTCAAATACTTCTTTCCAGGCTCTTACTTCTTGAAAAGTTTCTTTTGAGAAATCAGCTGATGGTCTTATGGGAACACCTTTGTAGGTAACTATCTCCTTTTCTCTTGCTGCTTTTAAGATTCTCTCCTTATCTTTAATCTAGGGTAATGTAATTATGATGTGCCTTGGTGTGTGCTTCCTTGGGTCCAACTTTTTTGGGACTTTCTGAGTTTCTTGAACTTCCTGGAAGTCTATTTCCTTTGTCAGACTGGGGAAGTTCTCCTTCATTATGTTTTCAAATAAGTTTTCAATTTCTTACCGTTCCTCTTCTTCTTCTGGCACCCCTATGATTCAGATGTTGGAACATTTAAAGTTGTCCCAGAGGTTCCTAAGCCTCTCTTAATTTTTTTTTTGAATTTTTCTTTCTTCATTCTGTTCTGGTTGAATGCTTATTTCTTCCTCTGCTCCAAAGTGTTGATTTGAGTCCCAGTTTACTTCCCTTCACTGTTGGTTCCCTGTATACTTTTCTTTACTTCACTTTGCATAGCCTTCACTTTTCTTTTTATTTTGCTCAACCATTTTTGTGATCATCCTGATTACTAGTGTTTTGAACTCTGCTTCTGATAGGTTGGCTATCTCTTCATTGCTTATTTCTATTTTTGGAGCTTTGATCTGTTCTCTCATTTGGGGCATATTTTTTCTGCCTTGGAGTGCCTCTACATTTTAGGGGTGGAGCCTTAGGTATTCGCAGGGATGGACAACCTAGATTGCTTCTTTGTGGCTTTGTATGTGAGGTTGGGGTTAGAGAGGGAACAATGTCTCTTGTTCTGCTCTTGGTCGGCTTTCAGTTCCTTCCCCGGGTGCTGATTTCTGGGTGGGTGGGCTTGTGTACATTCTAGGACTCTGCGGGTCTCTCCAATGAACTCTCCTGTGAGGCTGGGACTTTCTTCCTCTATCACAATCCCCACCGGATTTCACAGCCAGAGGTTTTGAGGCTTTATTTCCCTGTGCTGGAGCCCTGGGTTGCATGGTCAGTGTCACTGCTCTGTTGTTCCTCCTGGTTTATCTGTGTACAAATGTGGGGCCACCTTGTCTGCCAGCCGCCACCTTATCATGTATCCTCTCAGCCCCAGCTGCCCGTCTGCATCCCTCCTACCAGTCTGAATGAGTATTTCTTCTTTAACTCCCTGGTTGTAAGACTTCCATGCTTTTCTGGCAGTTCTGGTCACTTTTTTTTTAAATTTGTTGTTGTCCTTCTTTTGGTTTTATGAGGAGGCAAATTGTTTCTACCTATGCCTCTATCTTGGCCAGAAGTCACTCTACTTGTACTTCTTTTTTTTTAAAGATTTTATTTATTTATCTTTAGAGGGGAAGGGAAGGAGAGAAGGAGAGAAATATCAGTGTATGGTTGCCCCTCATGTGTCCCATGTTGGGAACTGGCCTGCAACCCATGCATGTGCCCTGACTGGGAATCAAACAGCATTACTCTGATTCGCAGGCCTGCGCTCAATCCACTGAGCTACACCAGCCAGGGCTCTACTTGTACTTCTTAATGCCTTCACCTCTTCACTCATTTCCCAAAATCCCCCTGCCATCTGGCACCCATCAAAACATTTTCCATATCCATGATTCTGTCTCTGTTCTTGTTTGTGTAGTTTGTTTTTTAGATTCAATTTTTGATATATATATATTTTTTGCTGTTTTATTATTAATAGTTTTGATCTTTTTTCTTAAATAGGTCCTTTTAACATTTCATATAATAATGGTTTGATGGTGATAGACTCCTTTAGTTTTTACTTATCTGGGAAGCTCTTTGTCTGCCTTTTGATTCTAAATGATAGCTTTACTGGGGAGAGCAATCTTGGCTGTAGATCCTTGCTTTTCATAACTTTGAATATTTCTTGCCAATTCCTTCTAGCCTGCAAAGTTCTATTGAGAAATCAGTTTACAGTCTCATGGAAATGCCCCTGTAGGTAACTAACTGATCTTCTCTTGCTGCTTTTAAGATGCTTTCATTATCTTTAACCTTGGCATTTTAATTATGACATGTCTTGGAGTGGGCCTCATTGGGTTCAGCTTGTTTGGAACTCTTTGTGCTTTCTGGACTTGCATGTTTATTTCCTTCCCCAAATTAGGGAAGTTTTCTTTTATTACTTTTTCAAATAGATTTCCAATTTCTTACTATTTCTCTTCTCCTTCTGGCACCCCTGTGATGCAAGTGTTGGAATGCTTGAACTTGTCCCAGAGACTGCTTACATTGTCCTCTTTTTTGGATTCTTTTTACTTCTTATTGTTCTGCATGGTTGTTTTTTTGCTTCCTTATATTCTAAATTATTGATCTGATTCTCACCTTCATCCACTCTACTGTTGTTTTCATGTAAATTGTTCTTTATTTCAATTAGTGTGTCCTTTGTTTACAATTTGATCTGTATTATGCTGTTGAGGTCCTCACTAAGTTCCCTGAGCATCCTTATAACCAGTGTTTCAAACTCTGCATCTAATATATTGCTTACATCCATTTTGTTTAGCTCTTTTCTGGAATTTTGGTATGTTCTTTCATTTGGGTTATTATTTTTTGTATCCTCATTTTGGTAGCCTCCCTGTGTTTATTTCTGTGTATTAGGTAGAGCTTCCTTAATTCCATGTCTTGGAAGTATAGCCTAATATAATACGTGTCCTGCAGGGTCCAATGGCAGTCACCCAAAATGGGTACTCGAGGTGTGCCCTTTGTGTGGGCTGAGTACACCCTCCTCTTGTAGTTGAGCCTTGGTTGCTATTGGTAGATCAATGAGAGGGATTTACCCAGTCCAGTCAGCTTCAAGGACTGGCTGTGACTACTGACCACCTGTGTGGAGAACAAACTGTGCAGGGGTAAGGTGCTGGTGCTTCTATGTGGTCTGTAGCTGTCCTCTCATTGTGCAGGCTCTGGGGTTTCCTGGGTGGTGCAGGTCAAAGTCAGCCCCCACCTGTGTTCTTCCCAGGTTCATCCTGCATGAGCTATAAAGAAGTCTGAGATGGCCGCTACTTGTGCAGAGCTTGGAGGTTCCACAGAGAGGGTATGCTGTGAATCTAAACTGGCTGCTGCTAGTGCTGGGCCTAGAGCCACTTAGAAAGAGGTATGGGGGTCTTGTGGCTCATTGAAGCTGGCTATTGCTTGTTTGATAGGATTTTTGAAGTTTCAAGACCTGAGACAACATAAGCCATTCATGTTGGAAAAGTCACAGTTAAAAGTTTGGGTGGGCCTGTAAGGTAGTAGAGCCAAAGTCTCAGGGGATCTTCAGGATGGGGCAAACTGTGTTAGCTACATTGATGGAGTCTCAGATTTGGCACCTGTATGCCAGTTCTGTGCTCTGTGTGGGGAGGGCTCAGAAAAGTGTCAATAACCTCTGCCCCCCTTTCTCTCTGGGAGGAACCTGTCCCCCTGCTCCCACCTTGATGCCAGATACTTCAGTTCCTTTCCATATGCCACTTGTGCCTTTCTAGCTATTACCCTGGTGCTGGAGCCCAGAGGGAGTTAGTCTGAAGAAGTTTGAGTGTGGGTTCTTTAGGAGGAAATGCTTGGGATTCCAGCAGTTTTTTTCCACCAACTGAACCCTCACTGGTTTTTGCAGCCAGGAGTTACAGGCACTTACCTTCCTGGCAGTGGAACCCTAAGCTGAGGGGCCTGGCATGGGCCTGGGACTCCTATTTCTTGAGATATATTTCTCAAATTTTTATCAACCACACATGGGTGTGGGACTAGTTTGTTCTGTGTCTCCACCCTTTGTACCAGTCTGGGTGGATGTGGTTTCTTTAATTTCTTAGTTGTCGGACTTCCATTCAACTCAATTTGATAGCTCTGGGTGATGGGTTTTCTATGTTTTAGTTGTAATTTTGATGTGGTAGTGTGAGAGGTGAGCCATACTTACCTATGCTGCTATCTTGACTGGAACTTGCCACCATTATTCATTTTTCTTATTATTCAGCATATGATGGGATATCTGGAGGCTTATTTCTGATGTTGCTTGTATGTTGAAGTTTAGAGCTGGCTGGCAATGTCTCTCACATGACTGCGGCACATGGCAGAGAGTTAGTGAACACAGGATCTGTCAGCAGCCACTGAATGAGACCAAGTGCACTCACAATGGAATCTCCCCTGTCTGATGTTTCACACAGGGGAACTTCAGTTAGGAAGTACATGTGTGACCATGTGGTATTGGTCTGACAGTGCTGAACTGTTGATAGTAACAAAGCCTTGACTTTGAACAAAATAGTAAATGTGCCTTTGGTGACATTAAGGAAAATGAGCAGAGGCTGAAGACCTGGCAATCTGAATCATGGGTGCTGACAATACAGTGAGCATGGTGCCTGGCTTGCAAGTGTTGCCTCCAGCTGACCTGTGCACTGAGAGATCCCTCTCCAGCCTTAAGTAGGGCCTGCCAGATGACCTCAGCATGGCTCCCCATACTGCCCACCCTCTGCTCTCCGTGTCTACCTGGAAGGCTTGGTAACTTCTCCAGTCTCTTCTGGCTTCCATCATTCTATAAGTGCTTTAAAAAAATCCAAGGTAAAACCTTTCACCTCACAATCCTTCAGCTCCATCACATCCTGGGCATTCTCATTCATGTGCATTTCTCCAGCTCTGGTGCACTTCCTCTCTTGTGCAGGAAAGCATCCCCAAGACACTACACCCTGGTTGGACTTCCTGCAAGAGAGGAGCCAAGCAGGCTGTGTGCCAGCTCCCTGACCTCTTTCATTTGGCAGACTACAGCAACCCAGACCCCTTCACCATCTGCCACCAATGTATCTGTGTCACATGCCATGTCATCCCAAGTTCATGGGGGATTGTAACAGTGCACATGGTATGGTGTGGGGAAGGCCACATTTATTAACAAGTTATTTGTGTTGTTTATAGAGGCTTTCCCATCTTCAGGGCACTGCTCAGGCGGTGAGGAGCTGCAATGGAGGAAGATACATGTGTGGAGAAAGGGCAGGTAAGGTGCTGGGCTCCTTGGGGAGAACCATGAATGGTGCAGTGGATGATACCACCCTGCCTGGTAGAATGATGGAAACACCCAGGAGGTGGGTGTCTGGACTTACTGTGTTCAGGTGTGGGGTCATTGTTTCTTCTTAGAGAACATAAACTTGATATGCTGTACCCCCATAGTCAGGACTGTGGTTCCGTTACTTTTTCACTTTGAAAGCCCAGAGGAAGTGATGTGGAAGGGCATGTTTGAAAGTCATCATATTGGTAGTAAGATGTGGGCCTTAACCTTGGCATGGGGTAGGACACAGGCTGTCTGGCTTGGTGCCTTGCTGCTCCATAGCTAGGATCTGACTACTCCATTCTGATGCTCCAGAGTTCTTTCAACACAAAATAAACACCTCTAATGTTGATGCAAGTTCAGTGTGTCAGGAAAAAGAGAAAAACTGTAAAAATTTTCCTGGAGGCTGGATGACTCTCTGAATTAGAACATAGAGCAAGGGTGTGAGCAGTCTGCCCACCTGCCTCTGTTTTTTCAGGCAGCATGGGATGGTACCTTGTGCTTTTAGCCTTACTGGCTCCTTCTAAATTTTCTTGTTCTGAACACATTTCACAGGCTGAGCCTGTCACAGCCCTGCAGCCCCAGAGGGGCGAGACCTGGCAGGGAGAGAGTTCATGTTTTCTCAGTTTAGAATTCTTTTTCAAAACACCAGCTTGCCTACATGCATATGCATCCAAGCTTTGGATAAAGCAGTCTGAGTCCTTCAGCTTCATTTTTACATTGTTACTTGGGTTTTAACACCCATCAGAATAATTTTGTATCTCCTTCATTGGTGTTTGCATACAAGAATGCGCTAGATACAGGAATGCATGGATTATAGGTGCCCAGGGGGCCACCACCCTGAAGAGAAGCCCAGAGTCACAAGGCAGTAAGACAAGCATTCAGTGCAGGTAAAAAGTACCACACAAACATGAAAGAGGGTTCTTGGGGTCTAGGTGAGCCTGGGAGGCCTTACTGGGGGAGGGAATATTTCAGCCCAGGATGGATTTCTCCCCCAGCCACATGTTAGACCGAAAAAAAAATAAATTGAGGCAATTTCTTTTGGGGGGGGTTTACTCAGGGGCATCTGGAAATCCCTTAGTTGTCCCAGCACAGGTTCTGTCTTTCCTACTGTACAGTAATTCTAATGCACGTTGAGGGGGGTGGCCAGACCCTGAATTGGCACAGGAAGGAGCACAGGCACAGTCTGCACCCATTCAAGGTGTGGCCCTAGTGGTTGCCTTGAGGATACCTGAAGCAGCTTGGGGTGTGCAGTATGTTTCCCCACAGGCCTCACTTTGTGCTCAGACTGCATCTGTAGCACTGTGCAGAACGGTAGCAGGGAAAGGAATCACCTACAGAGGGCTCATTCAGGAGCAGGGGTTTCCAGTTTTGTGCTGGCTCAGTCCTTATAAGATGTGCCTCAGAGTTGTCCCATGGAGGGGTGGGGATGCTGGCATGTCTGCCCACTGACTGCCTCCTACTAAATTAAATTGAATTAAGGATTGTCCTTGGTAGGGACAGAGCTCCTCGTTTTGGACTCCCTGAGCAGGCTGAGGATGCTGGAGAAGCCTCCATCACAGCAATGGAGGCCAGACTTGGGCCCTGAAGGCAGCATAACTTCATTTACGGGCACCAGCCATGAAGCTCAGAGTAGGCTTGGGCTGCTAGAGGACAGCTGGCTGAAGAGATGCAGCTCCAAAGCTGTTGGTTCCTGGGTCCGAGTAACTGAATGGGAGTTTTCAGTTGAGGCCCTTCCGAATAGCTGCCCCAGTCTAGCCTTTGAACAACAGAGTCCTTATCCTTCATAGCAGAACTGTATCTGTATGTACAATATGTAGGGTGGAGATCCTAACATAACAGGTGAGTAAAGGGATCCTTTTGTGCCAACCCAGCACCACCTCTTTCCAGAGAAGCACATCTCACTTACTCATTCCTTCTCTGGGGTGGGGCTCCTCACCCATAGAATAGAAGTGGAACTCCTACTTGAAGCCTGCTGAGAATTTTAGGAATGAGAGCTGCCAAGTGCTAGGGCTCTGCCTGGCATGTAGTAGGTGTTCAACGAGTCTGAATAGAGTTATTATGAATTTAATTTTGCTGTTCATTCTTCCTAAACTTTTGTACAAGATAATGGTAATTGCTGACTGATATTACTGTAAATTATCAGTATCAATCAATTTGATCCAGGGTATTTTTTCTAGCTGAAAACCAAGATTGGTTTTGTCACATATATACAATGCATTATTACTTGGCAGTAAAAAAGAACAAAATCTTAACATTTGTAACAGTATGGATGTAATAGTATGGACCTAGAGGGTATTATGCTAAGTGAAATAAGTCAGTCAAAGATAATACCATATGATTTTATTTATACATGGAATCTACAGAACTATATAAACACACACAAAAAACAGAAATAGACTCAGAGATACAGAGAAAAAACTGATGCTTGACATAGGGGAGGAAGCTTGGAAACAGGGCAAAAAAAGTGAAGGTATTGGGAAGTAGAGGTTGGTAGTTACAAAAAAGTTGTGAGGATGTAAAGCACAGCATAGGAAATAGCGTCAATAATAGTGTAATAGCTATGTATAATACCAATTGGGTACTGGGAATATCAGGGGGAATACTTTGTAGAGTATATGATTATCTAACCACTATGCTATATACCTGAAATTAATACAAAATAATATTGAAAGTAATCTGTAATTGAAATAAAATAAATTAATACCAATTAAAAAAAAGAAAAATTGGTTTGATGCAACAAACTAAAGTTACTAAAAAGGATAAAATATATGGTAACATGGAATTAATTTTCACTTGACCCAATATTGTATAGTATTTCATTCTATGTCCTTGCTTTGCTAATTGCTGATATAATAATAGTAACATTGATATTAAATGCTTACTATGTTCCAGGCATTCATTAAGCATGCCATTCATTCAACAAATATTTATTGATGGCATACCATGTCTAGTCACTGTTTACTTTTATTATTTCTAAAAATTATTTTATTGCTGTTCAGTTATAGTTGTCTGCATTTTGTCCCCACCACTTCCCCCACATCCCAGCCAAACCCACCTCCCTCCCTTGCTTCCACCCTCCCCCTTGGTTTTGTCCGTGTGTCCTTTCCAGTGACTGTTTAGATCTTAAGAATAAAGAGCTGAAGAAGAGCTTGTCTTCTATTTGGGGGAGGGGGGGACAGAAAATGAACACAAACATATATGAAAGAAGGGTATTAAGGTGACCCATATGCACTTGTCATTTTTGTAATTAAAAATGATCAACTGTTGGCAAGTGCATAGTAATTTCAGACAGGGATGAGAGCGTCTCGGGCCTGTACTCAGGAACCCTAGGAGGCAGGCTGTATGCATTTTGGAGATGAGGAAACTGAGGATCAGAATGTTTATGCCAACTGCCTGAGACCACACAGCTAGGAAGAAGACCTGAGACTGAAGCAGACAGTCCAGATCAGAATCTGCAATCATAAATAGTGCTGTACTGCTGCTTGAAGAAGGATTACATCTTTCAAAAAACCCCAACAGACACTGGGATGTGGGAATCCCATCTTAATTACTGAGTGTCCTTTCTGACCACAGTGGAACATTGACCTTGAGTAGGTTACAGAGGGAATGAAAGCAAATGCAGGGTCTGTTGAGGTACTTGCTGTCAGTGGGGATGACGGGGGCAGGTCCACTGATCCTAAAGGGGTTCTGCAGACTGTGCTGCTCCCATCTTCTTACTCTGTTCATCCTGGGAACGTGCATCTGTGGCCTCAGCAGCTCATCATGGACTTTCACCAAACAAAAGAGGAAATGTAATAAAAGTGTTTTTAATAAAAAATTTCCATATGAATGGCTTATAAAAATGATGAGGTCCTTATCTCAATTAGCTAGAAGTGAGCAGGGTGGGATAGAATGGGGAGGGATGGGGTGTGATTGAGAATTGAGAGGATAGATGAGATAAGGAAGGATGGGTCTAGTGGGAGTGGGATGGAATGGGGTGGGCTGGGTTGAAATGATGACATGCTGTCCTTTTCTCTAAGAGGTCTGGAACAGATCTGTCTTCCTTTTCTCACTTTTAACGTCTGAATAAACCAGCCTGATTCTCTATTTTTCCCCCATCTGGTAAATACAGACATCATTCTATTTAGTTTCCCTCTTTTATTTCAAACACTGGTTAAAATTATGTCAAGATAGCCCCATCTTCATAATTCTCTGACCAGCTGGTTATGGAGATCAGGTGTAAGTTAAGTACCTGTCTCTACCGTGGAGGACATTTACTGCCCAAGGGCTTGAAAACTTCTGACTATTTGGGTTGGGAACCCAGGTGAGGAGATCATCCCAGTGATAGTCTCTTTGGCAGGGCTGTCAGGGTCAGCTGGGTATGTATGGCTAGACAGCAGCCCCAGGCCTGGGGATTGGCTGGGGCAGCCAGTTGGCTGCACAAGTGAGCTAAGAACTGGCAGGATGTGTGGCAAAGAATAGCAAGTGGGTAGGAGAAGTTCAAATGTCACTGAAATGCAGAGAAAGGGGTTAGACACAGTGTCCAAGTTTTAGCAGAGGAAGTCAAGGTCTTTGCAGAGTCTTACATGTAAAGCCAAGAATTGTTTGCTTATTTATTTGGTCATTTGCTTCTTTGGCAATCTATTAAGCTGGCTCTGTCTCTTGGTGGGACTTTCTGGTTGGTAAATAGATATCACTCTTTGAAGGCTGCAGTAGTAAGAAACATTCTAATTACCATGATGTTGTCCTTTGGATATTCGGCCAAAGTGAGTTGGACAGCCTAGGCCATTCCCAAGGTGACCCTGCTAACATCTCTAGATGGCAACAGGAACAGAATGTTTTTTTCTTTTCTCCACCATACCAGAGCAGAAGGAAAGACTTCTTACCTAACCTAAGCTCTGCTCTAGTTTGAATTCCTTTAAGAACCCAGCAGGTTAGGCAAAAGAGGTTTCAGGGAGGGTTTGTGT